CTTCCCTGAAGTTTATGACAATTTCAAACACTTCCCTTCCATTATCAAAAAATTAAACAAATATCCCTTATTTCAAGTTTTGAATAACACATAATTCCCATGAAATTTATGCCAATACAAAATTTCCTCATTTCAATTTTCGAGTAATACATACCTTAGTTAACCACTTTTCTCACACGTTTGCCAAAAAAAAAAAAAAAATTAGTGATAATGCTTAAAATACACAAACTTTTTTCCACCTTATGACTTCTTTAATAGTAGTTTATTACCTAGAAATCTTTTTAAAACTTCTAAGTAAATCACTGTTTGGTGTGGATTAAAATTAGATTTTTAGTAAATTTTGATAAAATTGATGAAATGTAAGATTGAAAAGTTGTGGACCTCATAAAATGTGTAGTTAAAATTAATTGCTAACATTGATTTAAATTAAAATATGAATTTAAATTCTACCAGGCAAAATCAACAAAAGCTATTGTTTAGACCACTAATTCTTCAATACACTGCAACATTAAATTGATTTGAATAATTATACTCGGGAACACGAGATGGAGGCATTCTAGTCGTGTTTAAATCAGCACTCATAAATTCAATTGCTCATTACTGTAACATTTGTAATGTATTTTGAGTATAGTTTTGCTACACTTATATCTTGGTTAACATTGTGAATGACATTTACCATTCAGGCACAATATGAGACGGGGTGGACATCGGATTAGCAGGTATGACAATCAATTTTGCCATTGATTTCTCCAACGCCTAATTAAATTAATGGCCTCGATTTTTACACCTAATGAAATGTCATCCAAGAGGTACACATTGAATGTACAAATAGATTGATGTGTTTTTTAAGAATCGGTGGTCTAAATAATAATTTATTGTTGATTTGTTTAGAAATGTTAAAATGGTACTTCGGGTATTACATTATTAAAAGACCACAAAATGGAAGAAAGTTCGTAACATTATTTTAAGCATTATTACTATTGTTTATATTAACACGTGAAAGGAAATTGACGAGGGAGGTAAACAATAATTAAACGAGATAAGCGTAATTCTTGAAAATAGAGGGTGTGTCTTTTAAATGTTCATAAACTTTGGGGAGGTATGTATTACTTGTGTAATTTTTTAAAGGAAAGAGGTGCCTGTGAAATTGTTAGCAGGAAAATCATAAGGGTACCTAATAAATGTACACAATGAATGACATAATGTGATGTGGCAATCATCTTGTCATAAACCTCAAGGAAAGTATGCATTATTCAAAATTAAAGAAAAAAGGTTTGTATAATTTTTAGAAAGTGTGGGGAAGCTATGAATAATTTTTGAGGGTCTGTTTGATTGAAAGCATGAAATTTGTATGGAAAGAAAATATTTTTTAGGTAATTGAACTGCCTAGAAATTATTTATATAGAAATTGTCAATTAAATGCGTTTGATTGACTTAATTTTCCACCTAGAAAATATTGTATTTTTTTCATATTTAGGTGTTTTATAGACATTATTTTCCAAAGAAATTGTTGTTTTTTTCCAACATTTGTTGTTTGATAGCAAATATTTTTCATGGTACTTGTCACTTTTTCCATGAAAATTGTTCAGTCAAGGGAAACAAACCCGGACAAATTTACTAATTAATTGAATTTCATCAACTTTTACCATACTAGTGCGGATCGTGCGTTGCA